AGGGCAACAACTGGCTTGCTATGGTATTCAATCTCAATAGGGCAGGAACACCGAAACAAGGCACAATAACATTCACCCCTTCTTCAGAATACTTAGACATCACATAATCATTGCTGAAGAACATATCTTCATCCGAGGAAAAGAATTCATCTGCAGAAGCATACTCATCATCTGACTCAGTCTCGGCCGAGCAATTTTCAATCATGTTAATCCCATGGTAATCATCTCTATGGCCCGAGACTTTGATAGTACCATTATCCAACAAAAACTAAATACCCGTTCTCACAATGGAACAACCACGAGAATCTCTGCAGCATATCTGGAAAGACCCGTAATGGTGTTCTTCTTGACCATCCATGTGACAGAAGGTAGCATGCAACTCCACCAAATCGTCATTCATATGATTCACGTCAAAGAACCGGAATTCACCGGGACATGCGTAGACCATATTCACATCTTATTCATATTCTTCCCTAGGTCTGATTATCGCACCCCTGTATATTTGTACTTCAAATACCACAATCGGCATGGTCATGCGTATAGTAACTAAACACACAGAAGTCGACATGCATCTTGACCAAATCTCCTCTAACCAGGTTGATATCAAAAATTCGGAAGTTGCCTGGACAACCAGCAACCATGTTTACAACATTTGTTCCTCCATGCTTAGGCAAAGGATTATCTTTTGCGTTAGGGCCAACATCTTTAAAGGATAAAAGGCCAAATCTCACCATCTTTTGTACCTCAGATTTCAAAGGATAACAATTCTCAATATTGTGCCCTGGTGCTCCCTGATGAAAAGTGCGTGTCTGGTCTACCTTATAATACCAGGGTAAAGGTGATGGTATAACAGGGGGTGGCCTGGTCTGAACCAACTTCTTCTGAATCAGAGCCGACAGCAACTCTGCATAGCTCATTTGAATAGAGTCAAAAGCTTCTCTCTTTTGACCCTGCCTTTGATTTCCCTGAGGGGATGGTCTGTGATAGGAAATAGTGGTTAGAGCTACATTGACAACTAGAGTCACAGAGGCAACCTATGGCTGGTACAGTTGATGCCTTCTAGTTGGTATAATATTTCTTTCTCCAATAACAACATTTGTTTCACTTTATTTCTTTCGAGAGAACCTGTATGATGACTTCTTCGTCCCTTCATCTTTTGTCAAGCTCCCTTCTCTAACAGCCTGTTCCAAACAACCACCCATGCTTACCATTTCGGTAAAATCACTCGGCTCATTGGCGACCATCCTTTCATAATAAAATGATTCAAGGGTTTTTAGGAAGACCTTGGTCATTTCTTGTTCTCCCATAGGTGGAACCACCTGGGCATCTATCTCGCGCTATCTCTACGCATATTCTTTGAATGACTCCTTGTCTCTTTGAGCCATTGCCCTTAACTGGTCACGGTCAGGCGCCATGAACATGTTGTACTTGTACTGTTTGACGAAGGCTTCTCTCAGATCATTGAAGGTACAAATGCTACTACTGTCCAGACTCATATACTACTTCAGAGCAGCACCTGTTAAACTATCTTGGAAGAAATGAATAAGCAAACCCTGATCATCAGCATGGGTGGACATTTTACTGATATACATCACAAGGTGGTTACAAGGGCAAGAGTTGCCCTTGTACCTCTCGAATTCTGACACATTAAACTTCGCTGGCACTCTTATGTTAGGAACTAGGCAGAGTTCAGTGACGTTCTGTCAAACAATTCTTTCCCTCGAAGGGATTTTACTTCCTTCTGCATCTTATTGAACTGGTCCTGGAAGTCATCCAAACGATCATAGAAACCCAGACCTTCACTTGGAGGAAGAATAAGACAATAAACTTCATCATTCACAAATGGCATAGCATTAACCGAAGGAGGTGCAATATAATGGATCTCATTTCTAGCAGCAGAAGTAATATGCACCACAGGAGGTGTGAGAGTAGCAGCAGCTTGAACAACCAGAGCAACTTGAGTATCAAGATTAAAACCTTCTGGCATGATGTTTTCAGGCATTCCCCACGGATAACCCTGAAGCATACGATTCTGAGCAACAATAACTGGAGTAATAGAAACAAGAACTAATGGACCTTCAGAAGCAATCATTGTCTGTTGAGGCTGAGCAAGTGGTGGCTGATTCTGAGCAGCCACCAATGATTCCATCAAAGAAGTTAGATTGGCCATACCGGCCTTTAAAGCAGTAACTTCTTTGTGTTTCTCGCGATTCTCCTGTTCAAGATTCTCCATTTTCTTCTTGGAATTAGCCTGAGTATTGTATTGGTGAGGCAAGTTGCTTCTGAACGAGGTAGAGAAACACAGTAAGACACTTGGGTATGAACAGAAATGCAAGAAGTATATACCAGATGATGCATGATATGCGATGCACATAATTTATTTTATTATTAATAATATTTCAAGGGACTCAAAGAATTATAGACGATTTACAAATATTAAAGTACTAATATATTTTGAAATACTGAAAATCTCATTATAATAAATTCAAAATGGATTACAAATTTTTAGTACAAGTTTTAACAATCCCGAGTACATGAAGAGATAGAATCTAAAATCTTAAAAAAAGTAAAGTTGATGAAGATCACTCCACACACTGACGCTTTCCTGTGAGTCTTGCAATCTGAGTCTTCAACTGCTTGTTCTCTTCTGCATACCTGTCGGCGACCTCTTTCCAATCACCAGAGTCAGGAAGTGAGCAACTAGGTCCTGAATGAGCTTTAGAGGAAAATAAATCCCCTTGCCTTTCCATCATCTCTACAACACGACTCCCAAGAATCTCAATCAGGTCATCTATCTCTTTCAGGTCTGCTCGGTAGGATACCTATAAAGTCTGACACTTATTCTTCCAAGCTTCCTTCTCCTGATGCATCCTAACTAGGGCAAGCTGAAACTCTTCCACATCATCTAAAAGGAGAGGAGTGGTCTTCACAAACATATCAGGTATAGATTCTTCACGAAAATATGACATCTTCAACTGAATTGCCCTTGCTTGTATCCACCGAAGATAAGACTCATATGTTATCGGATTTTTTTTTTAAATCCAATAATTTCAAAAATAATTTTTCAAAAATCAATTATCATGCATTAAATTTTTTAAAAAAATCAACATAAATATATTGAATATTTGAAAAATTCAATGTTTAATCACACCATTTCCAGAAAATAATGTATTTTTATGAGATATTTAAGAAATATCTTTTATTTCTTCAAATAAACTAATTTTTTTTTTAATATTTTATCAAATTAACTAAAAAATCTAATTATTATATTGAAAAATCCCATATAGACAACATTTAAAATAAAAAAAAATCAGAAATATTTTTTAATATTTCTGATTTATTTTAAAAAGTATTGTCTGTTAAAATATTTCTATTTTTTTAAAAAGTGTTGTCTGTATGAGAGGGTAAGAAGTAAAAATCGCAATTATATGATTTATCATCAACCATTACTACTACAACTACACCCACCTTGCTAGAATCCGAACACGTTGACTTGAAATGTCAAAGTCTCATTAAATAATAATTTAATTAACTAATCGTCCAATCAAATTCATCTCATAAATAAATAAATAAAATAAAAAATATTTTATAAATAACTTTAACCACACAACCTCCCACTCACACGTGTGGAAGGCTGAAGCCGCCAACCCAATCCAAGCCGAGTCGAGCCGAGCCGAAGTGTTTTTTGTGAGCGGTACCAAAAATAACGGTTTGAAGAAGAAACCACAGTCGTCCGATTAATTCTCAACATCATCATCTCTCTCTCCGCCAATTCTGTGTTTGTGTCTTCTCTTTCTCTCAACGCAACGCTTTCTCTTGTTACATTATCATCATCATCATCATAATCATCATCGCACTCTTCATTTCAAGGTATTTTTCATTATTTCAGTTTTATTTTCCTAATCAATCCCAATTCTCTTTTATTATTAAATTTATTCATTTTTACTCCGATTAATTTCACAGATTAATCTTCTCATTCTTTCACTCCGAACCTGCTGAATTTACTATTTTACAGGTAATTTAGGGTTTCGCTGCTCCCAATCCTCAGAGAAGGTTACTTGAGTTCGGTTTTTCACAATTTTATCTCTAACTCCTGATTTTGTATTTTTGATCATTTTTATTGTAAATTATTCGTTTTTGAGTTTCTTATGGTGAACGTTGAGCTATGGTTTTATTTCTTTTGATTGTTTAAATGTTTGAATTACGCTGTTTTGACTTTTTGACTTTAAATTGTAAATGAATTGTAACTGTATTTGAGTTTGAATCCTGAAAGGAGTGTTTTGAAGTTGATGCTCGATTCTTTATGTAGCTATAGATGTAAAAACTTGTTTTTTATAGTTGCATGTATGATAAAATTGTTTATTTTTCATGTTGGTTATCTTGGTTTTTATCTTGCATAGTTATTATGGCATGTATATTGCGGTCAGCAACCGCAATTGTGGCCGCAGTATTGATGATGTGATAGTCTCCGCAACCGCATCAGAAACTAAAATTGCAACACCCGCAACCGCATCTGCGACCGCAACCGCATTTTAATCACATGTGTGATGTTAAAAGTAATTGTTAAGTGAATTTGATTTCATCTGTTTGGAGATATTCACAAGTGTTGTGCATGCACTGTTTAACCTGAAAAGGGTTGTTTTGGTTTCCTTTTGGATTAACCACGTAAAATTACGCCTCATATTTATTGGCTTGTTGTTGTTGCTGTTTACTGCTGTATGATGTATGCTCCGCGATCGGCTTGATTGAACTTTTAGTGAAGCTGTTTTATTTGTTAAAGAATAAATATTCATTTTGATACTTTAGTGAAGTGATAATCATATTCAACTTATTTGTACATTGGTATTTGGGCTTGAAATTTGACGTATCATTGTTACTATTTTCCTATGGTGCTTTGCAGGCTGTATATGGATGAAAGATGTTCTTCAGAAATGAGGAAGATATTGTTTTTCTTCATATTCATATAATCTTTCGTTGAAACATTATTCACTGTGTCAATAATGGCTGCTGATCAGAAGAGGAAACGTGTAAATGGGGCAAGTGTTGTCGGTTATGGTTCTAGAGAGCAACATAGGACCAAAAGAAAGAATCCGGGTCTAGTTTCAAATGACACGAGATCCCACATCTCTGTTGAATGGGATAGAAACCAGAAAATAGTTGTTGCCAAGCGGGAACAAATTGGTATTAGTTGGAGACAATTGAAACCGTTTGTCAATTATGTTTCTAATGATCATAAAGTCTTGGCAGATGTGTTAACAGTGCCCCAAGAAATTTTTGACTTGGATAATTTAAGTGAAGTGCTTTCGTATGAGGTAGATAAAATAGTGGTCACAGTCTGTTGTTTGCAAGCTCAAATTTTTATTTTGTCTAGGATTTATGCATAAAACATATTTTATAAATCCTTTGGAAATTGGCAGGTTTGGAAGACACATCTTTCTGAAAATGAGAGAAGCCTTCTTATGAGTTTCCTCCCTAGGGGCATAGAGCCACATCAAGCCGTGGAAGATTTGCTAGCTGGGACTGACTTTGACTTCGGAAATCCCTTTTTGAATTGGTGTGTGTTTACTACATGCTTCATGTGATGTGAATATTTCTTATATTATATTACTGCTAAGTAGTTATTGGTTTCATGTTGTGTTGAGTTATGACATAGCCATCAAAATATTGATCAGTTATCTGCTTGGTAGTTTTTCGAATTCAATTTAGCAATCTTATCTTACAGCATATTGACCAGTCATCTAGTCTTCTTTTTGTTGCATACAAATTTTCTCGATTTTCTAATTAAAGGGGCCTGGTTTGGTGGAAATCCCATTTGTTCATTTTCTTAGTTTCTATGCTTACAAATTATGGCTTATTTTTCTTTATTTAGGATCCTCTGTATTATGATTACCTACCCATACTATTTGTAATGGCTACGTCATATCTCAATCTCTGAAACTCTTTTGTTTTGCTTTTAGAGTTAGCAAAGTATTATTAAAAACGTAATATGTTTTGCGTAGTTTGCTGATTATTTGTAAAAATCTTCTCTTTTTCAGAATCACAAATGTCTATATATTTTCAGGGGTGCTTCACTTTGCTCCGGCGATCTTCATCCAGACATAATTGTTGATCGGGAACAGCGTCTGAAGTCTGAGAAGAGAGCTTACTACAAACAATTACATAATTATCACAATGGGTAAGCACTGTACATCCTCGACTTGTATATATATATATTTTGCATTGTACTTATAATGCAGTATTGTCCATGTTTTATTTTGCAGTATGATAGGATTTCTATCAAAGTTGAAAGAGAGGTGGCAAAGCTGCAGAGATCCAGAAAAGGACATTTTGCAGAAGATGTGGAGGTTGTCCCCTGGAAGACTTGCAATCTGCATACTGAGCACAACACATAAATTTTTAGAACAGGGCATATTCCATAATTTGTTTCATTAAAATGATGCCATTCCTTTGCTCTTCCACTACCTGCACTTGCAGTTCTTCAACATAGATGAAAGCTAACTGTTGTGCAAGCTAGGGAAAACACATCTGGCATATCTTTTATACACCATATGATTAATTTTGTGAATATTTTGGCATGTCATAATACTTCAAATCTGAGACGGTGAAATCCTAGAAATCTTTTCTCTGATGTATCCTGATCAGACGGGACTTATCCATTATGTTTTCTGCTTGACTACTGTCTTCATAAGTAGATAATGAGTAAAATGCATTCATATATTTCTACTGATAGAAACCTCTATTTGTTTAAGCCTATGTATTTATTTTCTTTTGGTTGATATTAAACTGTGTCTCGGTTCTAAAAGTGAAAGTCTTGTGATTATTGCTGGTGTATCAGAACTTATGTTATTGCAATGCACAACCTTACTTAAAGTTGGTTATCGAACTTGAATTATGGTCTGCAAATTTATAATTTGAATTTTAGTAGTAGTCATTAATGTCATATGTTATTTGGATTGTGCAGGCCAAAGCATGCTCCGAAAGGAATATCCTCAAATGTGAATGAATCTAGAGTTAATGATCATGATGGGAATGTCACAGTGACATCTGAGTCGTGTTCCTGGGATACAGAGGAGAAAGCATGTAGTAGTGAATACCTAATTTCTTCATTGAGAAAGGATGATAAACTTCAGAAAAAGTAAGTAATGAATTTGTTATCAGCTATATGGTTGAGAGTTGAGGAACCTGGTGAATTTTACATGCTTTTGTCTTTGTAGTTGTTTTTGGTTTCTCAATACTTTCATTTGTCATCATAGCATGGTAAAATCTCTGGTAAAGCGGTGATATAGAAATTCGAGATACACACACACTTGGGTCAAGATTGCTTAATACTATTAAGAAATTTTTTTGCTTAAATAATTCAACTTTAGGGGATAATTTTTCCACTTTTTAAAGTATTGCGCTGAAACTCACCTCTTTATAGAGTTCAATGCTATCAGTAATAGTATTGTATAGCTAGTTGACTATCATTGTCACCATCATCATTTGTGATTTTCAACTTCTATATTGTTGATTGCCGTTGCTTTTGGTATACCCTACATCATTGCTATTGCCATATCAACTTCTATATTGCTGATTGTTGATTGCTGCTTTTGCTATTTCTGCCCGTGCTTTGTTTGTTGGTTGTTAGTTCTATTTTCTGGTAGCAAATGAAGTTTTGACTTGTATGCTATGAAACACAAACTTCGACACGGACACTCCGACACCAATAATGTTAAAAATATAGGACACTGCCACTGCCACATATATGATATTATTTGACCTTCATTTATCTATATATTATTTAATGAGTTAAAAATATTTTAATCAAAACTAATGCCTTCAATAATTCTTCATTGATGTTTAACCCTTTTAGATGTGTGAGATTTGTTCAAAAATGTATAAGGTGTGTTGCAAGAAAGAAAAACACAATTTTTTTGAAACATTTGTCAGTATTGTCCGACACGGGTTGTATGAGTGTCAAACACGTGTCAGATACCGATTCAAAGAGTGTCAAACAGGTGTCTGACATTTCTAACACTTTGACTTTTTCGACACGGTCTCGTACACGTGTCATACAAACAAGTGTCGGACACCACAACACGCCTACTTCTAAAGGTGTCCGTAGCTTTAATATTGCGCTGGCCTTCTAGTAGGAATTCATTATATTGTATGGTTTGATTTACTATTTTTACATATATTATTTGTGTAAACAATTATATGGCCCAAGTAACATTGGCGATTCATTGCTGTACAACTTTTTGAACTGAAGTACTAGTATCAAGTTTTGTCCTTTTTCTTTTGTGCTTGTTAGTGTGATACTGCTAGGTTTTTTTCAGGTATAGTTCAAAGTATTTATGGACGGATGCAGTTCATTTGACTAATGTTTTTATTCCTTGTCATTTTTGTGCTTGTCTACACACTATGCTTTGGTAGCCATGTAGCCCAAATACTTCAAAATCACGAATGGAAGTTAAAAATGTGTTCCAGAGCTTTGGATCTTACGAATTTACGATCTTGAAGGGGGTTGTGCTGGCCCATGCTGGAGAAAACTGACCAAGTGGGAATGCCGCTCAAGAATGCAAGATCTGTGAAATCGACGATCTTGAGCGTGCTTTTGTTTCAGGATCAGGTCCACATTCAACCCATTTCTCCTTCATGCAACCTGGTTGCAAACACTCCCTTTCTCCTTTTCTTCCAATTCCAATACCCCTTTTTTGTTTAAAGAAAACCCTGACCAAATTCTGCTTCACGCGGCTTCTCTTACACTGGTGTACAACTTTCTCTCTCTTAAACATGTCTGTTGTCTTTCCTTTTTGTGCTCTGCAACTAATAGCCTTTTTTCTTTGATTATATGAAGCCTCCACTGTTGCTGGTTCATTGCCGAGTTGCCATTCTTATAAACCATAGATGTAATATGTTTTCTCTTTGTGGCCTTCTCGGTTCTATTGCGTCCTCGCTTGTGACTTAGAGGCATACAAATGCATCTTTTTTTTTTTTTAATCTCTTTTTCAAATTAACTTCATATTGCGTTTGTTATTTGTGCTTCAAACTAGTTGTAGTTGGGCCTGTTTGTTAAGTTTGGGTTGAGTCCGTGTAGAAAAGGACCAATAAAATCGAGTGATTCTATTTCTTGGGCATTCTTGTTTGATTAGTTTAAATGGTTAGCTTTATACCAATAAATTGTGTGCAACTTCCTTAACATGAATTTATGTCTAACAAATTATTTATAGTGTTATTTAAATTGTCCCCTTATCGCACTATGCATTCCAACTTCTTAGGTTGGTAGGTGTTGTCCACGTTGCTTCAAATACTTGTTTGATGGTCTTGAAACCAGACACTGCTGTCAATTAAGATTTTGTTGTTGTGATAACTTGGTTTACATGGTAGGGATAATGAAGTATTGCCTGAATTTACATTGCATGATTTTGTCGCATTATTTTGATATATGCTTCCTTCTGGGTGGTTAAGTAAAGTCTTAACTGTGTTTTAAACTCTTTCTCATGTATAATCAACATTTATCTTATTTTAATATTTAATATTACTGTTCATGAAATAATTTTTGACAGGGTTCTTGAAAAAGGCATTGTGAAAGGTAAATCCAGAAATTCGATGTTTACTTCAGATGGCATGCACGTTAAGGGAGAAAAGCCCAAGAAAGAAGACAAAGTTCTCGAGCGTAACATTCGTTTTATTGATGGCGACAAATACATGTCATGTATCAAGGTCAGGCATTCTCCCTTACATATCCCATTAGGGGTGGTAATTATAGAGGTGTAGAGGTATAATGATTGATTCTCAGTAAATTGAAATTAATGCGGAAAATTGAAATATTAAGTTATAAGTTAGACTTCAGCTGACATATTTGAAGAGCAGCTCTGAAATGAAACCACAACCTATATGGATTTATATAAACCACAAAACTAGTGTTTTCAGAAATGCATTTTTCTTCTAGCCTGTGTTGTTAATAGTGCGCTGTAGCGCCATTGCAGAGAAGTCCCTGACCACAATAGGTGGTGCACCCACTGATTGCTTTGGTCTAGTGGCCGAAATCGTGCAACTTGCGACAGCAAATCTCCAGCCACTCCTTTGTGTTATGTTAGTTGGTTGTGGATGTTCCCCTAAGGCTCATCAAGGCTGAGCCGATAGGGATACTTGTTTTCCATTTATAATCACATAAATCTTTAGGGGTTAATTAGTTTCCTTATTTGATTGTACTCTCTGCTCCACAACGAGTTATCCATTTGTAAAAAAATTGTCCCTAAATAAATGACCCTTTTAATTTTCAATGCAATATTAATGACTTGTTTTTCAATTGTAACCTCTAATCAATACATCTTTCAGCACTCTCTAGTCAATATATTACACTGTGCATTTATATAATGGTGATCACACTAGTACTTAATAAGGGGTACTTTAGTAAAAATATTAGTCTGTCATTTATATATACATTTTTCTTAATCAGTGTGAAATGGTCAAATGAGTCACTCATTGTAGGACGGATGGAGAGAATATTCCATAGGCTATTTGTCCCCCCTCATGTATTTTGAATTAAGTTAATGTGAACATAGAATGTCAGTGTTGCACTACCATAATGATGTAAGTGGTCTTTTTCTTCTATGTGACAATTGATACGCCAATATAACAGATACTTCTCGGGTTTCCCCTACTTTGAAATCCAAGTGGCGGCCATCTCTCTGTCTGCTATGTCACTAGCATTCTTTGGGGTCGGTTGTTGCTCTATTTGGGTTATTCTCTACTACATCAAAATGAGGGAACTGAGAAAAATCTTTCATTTTTTACGTTGCATGCTTTAATACAATGTTGTGGATCGTGGTTTGTTCAAGTTCCACTATGCTATGGCGCTATAGATGCTATTTGACAATACTGTACTAAATAGCATATCACAGAACAATAGTGGTTTGTACAAATTCCGCTACACTATAGCTGCTATTTGACAATGCTGCTTTAATATAGACATTCCAAGTATTTATTTCTTGAAATATCGTCAGATTTTGGTAAAACTATTGTTTTCACCATTTTTTTGGGTCTAGTAGCCTAGTCGTTTAAATTTCACCTCTTTAAGGTGAATAAGTGGGATGTCGTGGGTTCGAATCCACGTCCCTGGCCTTGCAGTCGGATGTCCCTGCACAGTTACCTATTGAGCTTCCTTAACGGGACTGTTTTCACTAGTTCTTCCTAGTATAATATGGATTTCATGTAACCATATAACTAGAGTGCTTTCAACTATTCTTTTTCCTTTAAGATGAGGAACCCAATCAAAATCTTTAATACTTTATGCATACTTTAATATTTTGCTAGGGCATTTGCTAATTGTGTCCTTAATGCATATCAGATTAGTAGGAAGCAGCATGAACTTGTTAAAAGTATGAAGCAGTCTGGTAAAAGCATCCAATCTAAGTCTCTTAACCGTGTTTTGGGCAACCTCGATGAGATTCATGTGCAGCCATACGAAGTATTTGTCAAAGAGGAACAGAAGAAGTTGCATGAGCATTGGTTAGTGATATTTTCGGTGCTATCTTTTTTTGTTAAATTTTTATCGTTGAACTTGTTCTTAAACATCGCATTGTTATTGCTCATTAGAATATATTTTATTTTTGTAGGTTGCAGTTGGTGATCAAAGACCTCCCTGTAGCATGTGCAAACAGGATGCAGAGACAGATACAAAGAGATGCAATGAGGAATTCTTTGGTGGAAGAGATGAAGGACAAATCAACTCCAATCTTTGAGGTCTGTAGCGGTGTTTCCATGTTTCCTTTTGATGGTACATAATAAGAGGCGGTATCTCATAATGGTTCTGTTAATACTTTTCGAATTATATTTTTGTCCTTCAGGAAGAGAATAATTTGAGCTTGGAGAGGGAACTTCAGGATCAGGACGAGCCCATGAGCTTGGGGGATGAACCTGGGGATCAAGATGAGGATGATATAAGCCCAGTAGAGGACCAGAATGAAGATGTGAGCTCAGGAGGCAACCTTCAGGATCAAGACGAGGATAGTATAAGCCCAGTAGAGGATCAGAATGAAGATGTGAGCTCAGGGAGTGAACTTCAGGATCAAGATGAGGATAATGTAAACCCAGTTGAGGATCAGAATGAAGATGTGAGTTCCGGGGGCGAACTTCAGGATCAAGATGAGGATAACATGAGCTCAGGGGATGAGCTTCAAAATGTGGTGGAGGATGGAACAGATCTACATGATCAGTCTAGCATGAAAGATTATGAGGATTCTGTTGTTAGGGCTCTAGAGATCCGGTCCTTACACAATTCTTACTCTAGTTGTAATGACCATTTCAATCAAGTGAGTGTGGATTCAGAAAAGAATATTGTTTTATCAAAATCAGACGACACTTCACCAAATAGAGACGAGTATCCAAGGAATACAAACGCTTGTGATGTTTCTACTGATGAAGAAGCGCCTTTCACTTCTGGAAGTGATGTCTGGCAAACTGTTGAAATGGCACCACATCCATACTATGACTCTGCTGCGACAAACAAGTACACAGCTAATGGGTTATCACTGGCTAATCCTCAAGCCAACGAAGATCAAAGAACCCATGTGATTGATCTTGAAGCTGATTTGCATCAAGAAGAGACAGGTAAAGAGTTGTTACATGGACATTTGGACAATGGGACATCCTTCAGTACTTACGAAAGCCAGGATCGAGGCACTTTAATTCAATCTCTCTTCAATGGAGAGGGGCTGTTACCTTATCATCATGAACAAAAAGGAGCTCCGTTGGATTTTCAGACTTCAAACAACATTATGATGGGAGATGGCCAATGTTCCAGTCATTTCAAGGAGCCCTTGCAAATGTCGCTGACATTGGACCCACTGCAGAGTAGAGCTACCGAGGTTTACATGCCAGAAAGCATGTCCGAGAATATTCATTCCATTGCAGGAGGAAGGTACTTAATCCCCAGGCAAGATCCATTCATCCCCAGGCAAGATTCATTGGCTGTAGCAAATGTAACCGACTGGGCCGCTAATACTGCTCCCATGGCAGCTCCATCCCAATCTCACTTGAATACGGGTAATTTTATTGGTCATCATTGGCCCCCAGCTAACCACCACATTCGTGGTGGCTGGAATGGATCAGATGGCAGCAGTCTTTCGAGTCAAAGTGTCAGCACTGGATCAAACTCTGATCAGAGCCTATTTAGTATGCTATCACATTGTAACCAATTACGGCCCGGTACCTCTTATGATTCCGTCAGAAACCCAGACCAGTTTCTTACTCCAAGAACTTATGGAGTAGATGCAGGCATTACCAGGGTGAATCCGGCTGCTTTGCCACAGGTTTCCCATCCACTAGATTACTTCACCGCACGCGAGGCTGCACCTAGTGTAATGGTGCCTGATGACATGACATGGATGAATCTGCAACATCCGAATTCTGCATTACATGATCCAATGGGAAAGCCTTATTTAAAGTCATGGCACAGGTAATGGAGGTTTGACCTCATATGTGAGATAACATTTTATGACTTAAGCAAGATCCTTAGAAGCTGGTTATACATACCCTTAGATGAGAAGGTTTCTGTACATATATCTATACCAACTACAAACACCATGTATATAACCATCTAGATATTAGATGGGAAGGAGAGAAGCCAAGAGAAAGGGTTAAGATATAAGCTTCAAGAATTTCAGGTTGTTAGTCAAGTTATTTATCTAAACAATTTGTTATTTTTTATTTATTTTCACATGTTTCTAGAGAGACATTCTTTAATAATTTTGGAAGTTAAGAAATTATGGAGGCTTGTTCCTCTATTTTGAGTATCTTTATTTTTCTGAAGCTTCTCAGTCTTTGGATTGATAAATGATATGGCCAAATATTATGGATTGGTTTATTTCATAACCTCAATTATTTAAAGCAAGACAATGAAATTATCATGTTGATGGATAGGTGCTTATTGTAAAATAATAACATTATTTTAAATTGCCTCCACAAACTTTAGATGTTCTTTTAAAATTTAATTTTAAAGATTCAAGTTTAATCTTTATTTTATTTTAATTCACTCGAGAAGCAATTTTTCTAATTTCAGATTTAAAATGTTTGACCTATATTTTTGCATTTAAAATTAGAGGGAAATCTATTTTTTTAAAAGATCTCTCACCTGTGCAGTATGACAATTATCAATAGGAATCATTGTAGAGCGTGACACGTTCGGAATATAACACATCATTAAAATAATTTATTATTAAGTTTGAGTGCAAAAATTTCAAAGAAAAGTGTTTGAGTTTGAAATAAGAGAATTAGTTTTGGAATTATAGAAGAATACAATTTTTAATTAAGTGTAATATTGTAATACAGTATATAAGATAATTCTTATTTTTTAATTTATTAAATGACTTATAGGATGACTTATTAGTTTTGAAAATAAATTATATTGTCATTGATGTTTATTATAAGTTCATTAGATGAGAAGATCAACGGTTGATGTTGTTTCTGGACGATATTTGACATAATAAGGTACATTTGAAGGTTTTTATATGTGTGGCGGTTGTTGTGTAACAAGTTGTTTATAAAGGTGAATTTGATAAATCGTAACATTATATCTAATGAAGATTATTTATGCGTTACGAGTTATGAAAATGCGAAGACTGCTCAACACATTTTCTTTTGGTGTTATTTTTTCAGTCCACTTTAACGGCATCTTCGTTTCTGGATTGATATTCATGGTGTAGATCCTTTTAATATAAAGGATTAATTTTTTCCAGTTTATTCACTCTGTCTGTGGTAATTTCACTTCTCGTGAGTTTTTATTGTTAATTTGGTTTGTTACTATATGGATGATGTGAACAGAAAGAAATAATAGGTTGTTTAACTCAAAAGAGTCTTCTATTGCTTAATTGTTAGATAAAATAAAATTGATATTTTTTTGATTGATAAAGGTCAATGTTTTTTGGATCTCATTTATGGTGGCATAACTCCCTTGTTTGTTTCGGGTTATAGAGATGTTGTAGTCCTTAGTATATTGTTTTTGTTATAAACTTTTGTAATCTCTGTGATACATCTTGTGTTAGAGAATAATCTTTATTATTAATTCATTTTAATTTAAAAAAAAAACTTAGGATGACGTAAAATGTGACACAATTGATTTTTTCTTCATGTTTTATGTTTTATTTATTATTTTGTTAGTTTTTTAATATCTAAGAGATTAGTTTCATACGTTTTAAAATGGGGGGGTGTGGGGGGGGGGGGGGGGGGTGGGGGTGGGGGTGGGGGTGGGGGGGGTGGGGGTGGGGTGGGGGGGGGGGGGGGGGGGGGGGGGGTTGGAGGTGGGTGTGTGGGTGTGTGTGTGGTTGGTGTGTGTGTTGTGTGTTATTTGTTTCAAATCTAACAATAACATTTATGAGAATATATGGCTAGAAACTACTTACACATGTTTGTTAAAAGGTTAGAAAAAAAAATTGTAAATGTTTTGGATTGGGTCAACATTTGACCCTCTGTTGAGTAGATTCAATCCAACGTCTTTGCTATGGCTCAAAGGCATACAATTTAAGTCAATAACTGTTGGAAATTTTTCCACGTGCTCATTAAGAGGACGTGGCCAACCGTTATCTGAAGCTTACACCATCCTGCCCGCCGAGAATAACGGGTTCATAACCTCCATATCATCGCGGAGCAGTTGACCAGGAAGAAGACCATATGTTGGACTCTACTACTCACGTAATCTTAGCAGTATTTGTTATGGGGCATAACTATCTGGCCCAATACGTAGATCTTGACCCAATTCTGAGGGCTATAAATATCCTCTCACATGAGAGGCTCAGGTATTCACTCATTCATTTATTATTTTATTACTTGCATTTACTCTGAAGCTTACTTTGGCATCAGAGTGTCTTGTAGATACCCCCACTTTACTTTCAACCGTCGTTCAATCCAAACATGTGGGCTATCGACGACCCCTTGTGATCAGGTACGATCAATAGTGTCGTCTGTGGGAACAACTGCTTCCCTGTCTTTCTTAGCTTAATACCAAAACAAACTCTTCAATCTCCCGATCGTCATGGCCGCTCAAGCAAACAACGATGACCAAAACACCCACTTCGCCGACCTCAAAAACAACAACATGGATGTCCACGAACACGACCTCGGGGACAGAAGAGTTGCTTCCTCGTCCACTCGTCCACATCCCCTGGATGACCCTCATCAGCAGGTCGAGCAACCTGGGGGGGTGGGTGGGTGGGTGTGTGTGTGGTTGGTGTGTGTGTTGTGTGTTATTTGTTTCAAATCTAACAATAACATTTATGAGAATATATGGCTAGAAACTACTTACACATGTTTGTTAAAAGGTTAGAAAAAAAAATTGTAAATGTTTTGGATTGGGTCAACATTTGGCCCTCTGTTGAGTAGATTCAATCCAACGTCTTTGCTATGGCTCAAAGGCATACAATTTAAGTCAATAACTGTTGGAAATTTTTCCACGTGCTCATTAAGAGGACGTGGCCAACCGTTATCTGAAGCTTACACCATCCTGCCCGCCGAGAATAACGGGTTCATAACCTCCATATCATCGCGGAGCAGTTGACCAGGAAGAAGACCATATGTTGGACTCTACTACTCACGTAATCTTAGCAGTATTTGTTATGGGGCATAACTATCTGGCCCAATACGTAGATCTTGACCCAATTCTGAGGGCTATAAATATCCTCTCACATGAGAGGCTCAGGTATTCACTCATTCATTTATTATTTTATTACTTGCATTTACTCTGAAGCTTACTTTGGCATCAGAGTGTCTTGTAGATACCCCCACTTTACTTTCAACCGTCGTTCAATCCAAACTTGTGGGCTATCGACGACCCCTTGTGATCAGGTACGATCAATAGTGTCGTCTGTGGGAACAACTGCTTCCATGTCTTTCTTAGCTTAATACCAAAACAAACTCTTCAATCTCCCGATCGTCATGGCCGCTCAAGCAAACAACGATGACCAAAACACCCACTTCGCCGACCTCAAAAACAACAACGTGGATGTCCACGAACACGACCTCGGGGACAGAAGAGTTGCTTCCTCGTCCACTCGTCCACATCCCCTGGATGACCCTCATCAGCAGGTCGAGCAACCTGGGGGGGTGGGTGGGTGGGTGTGTGTGTGGTTGGTGTGTGTGTTGTGTGTTATTTGTTTCAAATCTAACAATAACATTTATGAGAATATATGGCTAGAAACTACTTACACATGTTTGTTAAAAGGTTAGAAAAAAAAATTGTAAATGTTTTGGATTGGGTCAACATTTGGCCCTCTGTTGAGTAGATTTAATCCAACGTCTTTGCTATGGCTCAAAGGCATACAATTTAAGTAAATAACTGTTGGAAATTTTTCCACGTGCTCATTAAGAGGACGTGGCCAACCGTTATCTGAAGCTTACACCATCCTGCCCGCCGAGAATAACGGGTTCATAACCTCCATATCATCGCGGAGCAGTTGACCAGGAAGAAGACCATATGTTGGACTCTACTACTCACGTAATCTTAGCAGTATTTGTTATGGGGCATAACTATCTGGCCCAATACGTAGATCTTGACCCAATTCTGAGGGCTATAAATATCCTCTCACATGAGAGGCTCAGGTATTCACTCATTCATTTATTATTTTATTACTTGCATTTACTCTGAAGCTTACTTTGGCATCAGAATGTCTTGTAGATACCCCCACTTTACTTTCAACCGTCGTTCAATCCAAACTTGTGGGCTATCGACGACCCCTTGTGATCAGGTACGATCAATAGTGTCGTCTGTGGGAACAACTGCTTCCCTGTCTTTCTTAGCTTAATACCAAAACAAACTCTTCAATCTCCCGATCGTCATGGCCGCTCAAGCAAACAACGATGACCAAAACACCCACTTCGCCGACCTCAAAAACAACAACGTGGATGTCCACGAACACGACCTCGGGGACAGAAGAGTTGCTTCCTCGTCCACTCGTCCACATCCCCTGGATGACCCTCATCAGCAGGTCGAGCAACCTGGGGGGGTGTGTGGGTGGGTGTGTGTGTGGTTGGTGTGTGTGTTGTGTGTTATTTGTTTCAAATCTAACAATAACATTTATGAGAATATATGGCTAGAAACTACTTACACATGTTTGTTAAAAGGTTAGAAAAAAAAATTGTAAATGTTTTGGATTGGGTCAACATTTGGCCCTCTGTTGAGTAGATTCAATCCAACGTCTTTGCTATGGCTCAAAGGCATACAATTTAAGTCAATAACTGTTGGAAATTTTTCCACGTGCTCATTAAGAGGACGTGGCCAACCGTTATCTGAAGCTTACACCATCCTGCCCGCCGAGAATAACGGGTTCATAACCTCCATATCATCGCGGAGCAGTTGACCAGGAAGAAGACCATATGTTGGACTCTACTACTCACGTAATCTTAGCAGTATTTGTTATGGGGCATAACTATCTGGCCCAATACGTAGATCTTGACCCAATTCTGAGGGCTA